TGTCTATCAGTTTAAAAGTTAAAAAATATTTCAATAGATTGAATTATACATGCTTTTTTACAATTGTAAATTTTTTTCTCGCCAGTTGAATAAATTCACCATTTTTGCTTCTATTCTTTTCAATTTTATGCAGTTATAACAAACGATGTTCGTTACAACTGCAAAATGTATTCTACACAAGGGATTTTTACGGATTTATGCTTATTTATTCGGGTAATGTCCTTTAATATCATTTGTAAGTGAATAAATTCGAAGAAGAATATTTCTGTTAAAATTTCTTTTTTAATTTTCATCTACAGATATAAATTCACCTTCATATGTTTAAAGTTTTTCCAAAAATGATGCCGTGTGAGCCTATTTAAGAGAAAGATACTTTTTTAGTTTTTATATTGAATATGCAGAGATCAGTGGCGCACTAAGAATTTTCCTGCGGGGGAAGGGAGGTTGGGTTGGTCACCGAAAAATTTTTTTTGATGCCACCTGCATTTGAGTTCTTAAAATTTGGGTTTTAGTTTAATTAAACGCACTAAAGGTAGCAATGCCAAAGATTCAGATATCTATATCTAAATATTGTTACGACTAACAATCGAATGGCAGCTATTAAAATTTGGAATCGCCCTTACCCTACAAAATGCCCTACAAAAAGAAATTCGATGTAAAATACGAGAAGCAAAGAGTCAACATCTAGCCAAACAGTGTCATGACATTGAAGAACTCGAAAAAAGATACGACACGTTTAACATGTATAAAAAAGTAAAAGAAGCGGCTGGTATTTTCAATAAGAAACAAAATGCATTGCTACAGGATGAAAATGGTAAAGTAATATTCGAAGTAGAGGACAAACTTAAAGAATGGGAAAATTACGTCACGAACCTATTCGAAGACGATAGGAGTAGTTCACCTCCCGATATTACTAACTGCGACGGACCTCTAATAACACGCTGTGAGGTTACAAAGGCCATACAATCATCAAAAGATGGCAGAGCGACTGGTCCTGATGAAATTCCAACTGAAATATATAAGCTTATAAAGGATAGCAATGTTTTAGAGGCTATAACTTCGTTTTTCAATACCATTTATACCAGCGGACAACTACCTAATGGTTGGTCTAACTCACTGTTTATAGCTCTACCTAAGAAGACAACAGCAAAAGCCTGTGCTGATTATAGAACCATCAGTTTGTTAAACCACTTATTGAAAATTTTTCTGAAGGTAATACATGGTCGTATCTACAATAAATGTGAGGAATACCTGAATGACACTCAGTTTGGTTTCCGTAACGGATTTGGAACGAGAGAGGCACTGTTTGGAATGAACGTACTTGCTCAAAGATGTCGTGATATATCTGTAGACATATACTGTTGTTTTATTGACTTTCAAAAGGCATTTGATCGTGTTAAGCACTCTATATTGATCGAAGCTCTAAAAGACATTGGCTTGGACGGCAGAGATGTTCGAATAATTGCAAATTTATATTGGAATCAAACAACATCAGTTTTAGTAAATGGTGTGGAAACACAAGCTCTCAATATTAAAAGAGGAGTACGGCAGGGATGCCTCTTGTCACCCCTGCTTTTTAACGTTTACTCCGAAAGAATTTTCAGAAAAGCACTTTCTGAAAAACAAGAAGGAATACTTGTGAACGGCGAAGTCATCAATAATTTGCGATATGCGGACGATACAGTACTCCTAGCTTCTAGTCAAGAAGATCTGCAAACACTACTTGATAGTGTCGTTGAGAGTTGTAGGGAGGCAGGTCTGGATCTTAACATAAGGAAAACCAAAATACTCGTAATAAGTAAACAACAGAATATAAAACCGTCTATATATGTAAATAATATCAAACTTGAGCAAGTTGATAAAATCGTCTACCTTGGACAGCAATTAAATTGTAATGCAGAAAATCACGGCGAAATTAGATCCAGAATAGAGCAGGCTAGAGCTGCTTTTAGAAGGATGTCCAAGGTGTTATGTAACAGAGACCTAAAATTGGCATTAAGGATTCGCCTACTTCGCTGCTACGTGTTCTCGGTCTTACTTTATGCTGTCGAGTCCTGGACTGTGAATAAAATCGATCTAAATCGCCTTGAGGCTTTCGAAATGTGGTGCTATAGAAGAATTTTAAAAGTTTCCTGGGTGGAGAAGATTCGTAACTCCACAATACTAGAACGTCTCAGCAAGACTACTGAGATCATAAAAAGCATCAAGCAGAGAAAGCTGGAATATTTCGGACATGTAATGAGAGGTCCCAAATATAGATTGCTACAAAACATCATGCAAGGAAAAATAGCAGGCAAACGCAGTCCAGGACGAAGAAGAACCTCATGGTTGAAAAACTTGCGAGACTGGTATGGTGTAGATACAAGCATGCTATTTAGGGTGGCAGTGAATAAAATTAAAATAGCTATGATGGTAACCAACGTTCTGAAAGGACATGGTACATGAAGAAGAAGAAGAATCGCCCTTAACCAGAAGTGTCATGGGATGACATTGTTTTTGTAGAATTTACGCGAGGACAGCTGAGGGTCGAGATGGTTTGTCAAATTTATTAATTTTTGAATGTCAGTTCAGTATTTTATACATTTTTAATACAGTTTGAGTTCGTATTGGTAATTGGCAAAAAGTAAGTTAATACAAATCATTTTGATTTCATCATCATCATGAAACCTCTTCTGTCCACTGCTGGACATAGGTCTATCCCATTTTTCACCACTTTTTATGGTTCTGTGCTTCTTGTTGCCATTTTTTGGATATTCGTCTAATGTCGTCCATCCAGCGTGTTGGTTGTCGTCCTCTGCTGCGTTTGTCTTCTCTAGGGCGCCAGTCAATTAGCGCTGTAAGTCTCGCTACGTGACCTACCTTTGTTTTCATTCTTTATAATTATTATTCAAATTTGTCATAATTTGTTTTATCTGTATTATTATTCACATATGTAGGTTTGCTTAAGTGATGAAGCAATATTTAAAATTATGGATGATAAGGCATAATTGACCTGAAGACAACCAGTGGAAAATATGAGAAGGGATGTGTAATAAAAACAATTGAACATTTTCCATAGGAAGCTATTTTTTTGCTGGAATCTCTTCAGGATGTGCCCAATATCGATAATCACGATATGCGCAAGTCGCAAACCCTGTGCTAAATTTTTTATTTAACAAAATCTGAAAACAATTGAAAATTTCTCTTTTTTTGTTCTTATTTTCGTTTATAATTCGGAAAATATTGATCCCAGAGAAAAAATTATAACAAGTTAAAAGTTACGTAATTTAATTTTACACAATATTTCGTTAGCTAGAAATTGAAAATTTAATGTTTATTGTTGAAAAAAAAAATAGCAATAATTGGAAAAAAATACAAAAAAATGAAGTTAACCCTTTAAATGTTTTTGACTTTCTAAACTTGACTTACAAGCTCCATATTCTGCCTAGAAAAATTTTTTAATATGTTTAAAACGTATGCTAAATTTTGTTAAGATCGGTAGGATAGGTTTTGCATAATAATTGTGCAATCCAGCATACTGGAAAAAAAATCGCAAATTTTCAAATTTATAGTAGGTCCTAAATAAGGCCCTCAGATAGTTGCAAATTTTTTTACGTATAAAGGAAGGCTCAAACTTTCAAACGCTTTTTGTAAAATTCAAAGCGGTTCACTAGGAGAGCCTGGAAAATTTTTATTTTCTTCGGATAATTTTTCGAAAAAAAAAAATCATAACTCAACATAACGAACCATTTATTTATTAAAAGTACAGTTAGTGAAAGTACAATTATTAAAATTTAAATTAACATTAGAATTATTAACTTCTATGTTCATTAAACTCATATTCTCGTCCGCAGCAAAATTCCATGAATATTCCCCAAATATATTTGTGACTGTAGGTTGTATTTCTGGGAATTTTTTATTTGATTAGCGCATTTATACTTTGAACATTCTCATTGCCGAAACGTGACATTTTGAAATTTATTTGGATGAAGTTGTCAAACTCGATCGTGTTGTCAGAGGGATTGAAAATTGCACTGAACGCAATTATCAGTCTAATGTTGACATGATTGGGTGAAATTGTTCCACATGACACAAAATGACGAAATTTGAATGGTTGTTAGAACGGTCGAAAAATTATCATAATAATAACATTATTTAATTTGAGAATATATTTTGATTCGAAAATGATATGTTTAAAGCTCGTACAGTTATTCAATTTGTTTATAAGCCTAAAAATGTTTAAAATTTTTAAAAAATTTCTAGGCTCTTCTAGTGAACCGATTTGAATTTTACAAAAAACGTTTGGAAGTTTGAGCCTTTCTTTATATGTAAAAAAAAATTGCAACTATCTGAGGGCCTTAGGACCTATCTTTAGGACCTACTATAAATTTGAAAATTTGCGATTTTTTTCCAGTACGCTGGATTGCAAAATTATTATGCAAAACCTATCCGACCGATCTTTAAAAAATTTAGCACACGTTTTAAACATATTAAAAAGTTTTTAATAAACATTAAATTTTCAATTTCTAGCTAACGACATATTGTGTAAAATTGAATAACGAAACTTTTAACTTCGTATAATTTTTTCTCTAGGATCAATATTTTCCGAATTATAAACGAAAATGGGAGCAAAAAATGAGAAATTTTCAATTGTTTTCAGATTTTGTTAAATAAAAAATTTAGCACAGGGTTTGCGACTGGCGCATATCGTGATTATCGATATTGGGCCCATCCTGAAGGGATTCCAGCAAAAAAATATCTTCCTATGGAAAATGTCCATTATGGTCTGAATTTTTACAGATCCCGCCTAGTCTACTAGTCTGTAATGAGTAGCAAAGGCACGTTTATATTTGGTAAAAGGAACCAAGCAAAAATACCAGTATAAAAAGCTTAAAAGATTGGTTTCACCAATGAACGAATGATTTAGTAACAGCAGCAAGGTCTTTATGCAACATAAGAAAATGGTCGACAGTATTTTATTCGAATGATAATTGATATATACAAACATATAAAGTACTTACTCAGGAAAGATTTTTCATTGGCCTCTTCTTCCTGTTTCTCCTGCTCAGACTTCATTTTGCTAGGGCTACTAGGAGGACTAAGAGATGACAAACTTCCCGAAGCTGCCGACAAATTTTCTCTACTGGCATCTTTATCATCTAAAGGAGATTTCGTAACCATAGTTTGGGTAACTATTAACAAACCATCGTTATCCTTTACTGCGTGGTGTTTTTGATTAACTTCGTCGTGAGGAGAAATTATGTCCCTTCTGTAATATTGATCCGAATGATTTCTCGATTTTTCCATACACGTAACATCGTTATCCGGTTCTAACATCATATTCGTTCTTTGAGTCTGGTGAGCTGCCGAAGTTGTTGGACTTGTCGGTGGAGATCGGTCTTTGACAAATATGTCTGTAGTGGTGGGAATGACAGAAGCAGGTCTGCAAAAAAAAATTTGTGCAAGAATATTGCTACAACTATAAAACAGTTGATAACAAAGTTAATGAAGCAATGATAGAACAAAATATATTAGGAAAAGCGCCATTTAGATGAAGACCAGACTGTGTTCACATAACTACCATCAGCCAATGTGGTCCTTGAGTCTATAAAAATCCCGAACGTGGATTATGCTGTTATTACAAATACATCTCAATGACCCCAATCAGTGCAGTATTCGTGAAGATCCTGCACAGTAAGACATCTTATGCAGAACTTACCATTTTTGGTAGTAGTAGGTAGTAGTCTGAAGCAGTTGGTGTGCGAGTTGTGTTAAAAAATGGAAACAATCGAGCATGCGCAGTGTTAAAATTCTTCATAAAGAAGATCTTTTAAGTTTACAAAAAATGTAAACTATCAACAAACTTCATGATTGGTTTTGGAAGATAGATGTAAAGGTGAGTGAAATTGTTGATGATCCAAAGAACGTGTTGATCAAATCTTGCAGCACATTGAATTGGTATTAATTACTATTTAACTGGGAATAAGCCACAATTAAAGATAAAAATACGTTTATTGACGTTTCAATTTTCACTTCGGGAATCGTTCTCGATTTTTTTTTTCGATTTTAAGAACGATTTCCGAAGTGGAAATTGAAACGTCAATAACCGTATTTTTATCTTTAATTGTGGCTTATTCCCAGTTAAATAGTAATTAATTTAAAATGCCACAAGAAAATAGCTTCAGAACAATATTGAATTGGTACTTCAAAAAACGTATGATTGAACATTTTTCTGAAAGTGTTTCTTGTGTTTTAGGTAAAATAAAACTTACAGACAAAAACCAGCTCTTCAGCCTCATAGAAGACTAGGGCAGAACCATCATCAGGAAATACCACGGCGTCAGTGTCTTATAATGCAAAAAGAATATTACTGATGAACTATCTTGAAGAAGGTACATAAGTGAAGAATACTATTCTAGTAATGAAATTACTCAAATGGTGGAAGGGAAGACGAACGGTGAAGCTCATAAGTCTAGCGTGGAAAAGTTAGCACTCTGTAGTAAATTTAAAAAATTACTGCTCAGAGAACCGATGTATTGCTTTGAAGAAAAAATGGATAAGTTGACGACATAGGTAAAAAAAAAATGAAAAAATGAAAAAGGTAAAAGATCTGGATGATTAGATGCTTGAACAGCAGAGATCAATAACTGGTTAAGGAATTAACAAATAACAAAACAAACACTTAATAGTCATTTAATTATTGACGCGAGGGATTAATAGGATTCCCACGTTTTAAAAAATAAGCGGGGAAAGATCCTGTTGATGTGTAAGAATACATGGTGGTAGATGTTACAAAGCCGGTTAAATATGACTACTTTCATCGTTTTATTAATTGGTTAGGCGAAACGTGTGCCTCGTACCCTAAGAATATCACGGAATTCCTGACCCAAAAGCACGGAGTAACATTTCATTGCACCATTCGTCGGTTTCGTAGTTACAATAAGCCTTGCCTTTCGGATATTCCACTAGAATTCATGCGATTTCATTTTTCCTATCTTTTCGGAAATATTGTTCTATAACGTTTTTGTACGCCATGGAACATTTTAGGTATATGCAATGGAACATCTCATCATCATTTTTCTGGCTTTACAACCCTGCGTGGGTCCTAACCTCCTCAATAATTGAACATATAATTCAAGTTAACCGCAAAAAAACTGAAAAATGGACAAATTCACCCCCTTCCCAAAAGTGCACCCCTTTAAATGTTAGCACTCCGCGGTTTTTTCATATTTGGGCGTTCATTTACCATACGAAACAATTAAAGTTGGAGTTCCTTTCTAAAGTACATAATCAATAGCCTATATAGGCTATTCGTATTTTCCTAAGAACTATTTTAGAACCAGAAATCCAAATGTCAATAATATTTGAATTACAATAATTATTGTGGTTCAAAAAATTTAACCATATTAAAAAAATATAGTACCTATACATATACAAATATAAGAGTCAAAAAAAAGGATTACACCTACCTTTCTTTTTTTACAAAATTTGTCCTCCTTGAGGCCTCGGTCCGAACGGGAGGTGGTGGTGGAGAAGTTGGAGGGCTTTTTAATCTGCTGCTGAAAGAAGCGCTTCGTGTAGCAGCAGCCACTTTTGTCTCCGATCTTTCGGAATCGATTGAAACTGACAGCCGTACGTCGTTTTTATTTGGATCGCTGTTGTATCTACTATTCCGAGTTTTCGAAAAATGCGAAGTCCAATTTCGCTGGCGCTCGATCAGTTCTTTACTGTTAAACTTCCGTTCAGGTTTGTCTGGTTTCTTCATCAGAGCGGGTTTTTCGTTAGCGTTGTTTTCGGTGTCGCTGACATCGAATCCATTTGTTTTTTTGATGAACGGTAGGTTATTGCTGCAATTGTCTAGATTTTTATTGAGAGGAGGAGACGGTGTTCTGGATCCGTGATATGATTTGGCATCTCTAGTTTCGCTATTTGCAGATGAACTGCGAGATCTGGCATCCAAGATATTGGAAGCGCTTCTGGTTGATTGTAGTGGAATAACTCTATCTTTCCGATTTTCCTCTCCCAACTTCTCAAACATCGCTCTGGCATTATTGAACCGTGTTACATGCGATTCAGTCCTTATTACAGTAATATTAGCCGCGTCTGCGTCTACTTTTTCTGTAGAATTGTGGCTGCTGTATCTTTTTCGCGCAGGATTTATCACGACTTCAGCTTCCTTCGGAACTGGCGTCATCGCTTGAAAAATGTTCGCGATCTCTGAAACTTTTGATCCGCCAAATCTTGGACCCTTTTTATCTTCCATCATTTTTGGTTTTATTTTTTGAGCTAGAACAAAAAGAGCAAATTAAAAAATTTTATATATATACAAGTATATCGCAAAGTTCATACACATAAGAGGTCCAGCTATTAAATAACGTGACTGCTTATGAAAAAGAGTTGTATTTTAAAAATTATTCTACAATCGAATGCTCTCCTTCATTATATTCCCCTTCCTTCGCCACACACCGTTCCATTCATTTTTTCCGTTGGTCAAAGCAATGCTGGAAGTCTTCTTTTATTAGAGTTTTTAAGAGCTACGCCGTTTTTAGCTTCACCTCTTCAATCGACTCAAACATAATTCCTTTTAAGGCAGACTTGATCTTCAGAAACAGGAAAAAGTCACAGGGTGCTAAATAACGCTCCACAGACAGCGCGTTATGGGCAGGTGCTGTTGCTGTACAATTCAGTACTATAATTATTATATGTATGTTGGCAACACATTCCACTTTCAATATAGGTTGAATGTTCGAATAATTAAACTTTGATGGTATACAAGGCAAATATCGAACACAGTAATTAATTAAATCTTGCCCAAGTACTTTCGATCAATAGATCATCCTCAAGGGCATTTCGTCAGTTGTGGCCTATCCGACATGAGCAGAATGTCATACATGTAAATTTGGACATAACAATACAATACACAAAGACAAACAAACACTTTAAAATTTTTAAAAAGGAGAAGCTACATGTTATATAGAAGCCGGAGACAGAATGATGACATTCTGTCTCCGGCTTCTATACTCTATTCTGTCGGCATACGACATTATTCGTATTCGGCCTAGAATTAACTTTATTATGAAGAGTAATTTTTTCTGTCAAACAAAAAATTGACGGAGATATGATTGTTTAAAAAGCGCGTGGCAGCGCAATCACAGTCTCTCTTAAGCCCTTTAACCATTCACCGTTTTAGAAAAAGGTTTTTTACTACATATTGCAATAAATGATGTTGTAGCTCTCTTAATTACCTTTACAATGGTTTTTTTTTATAAATTGTGATAGCATGAAAATTGAAGGAAATGGCACTTATGAAACCCATTGATTTAAAAGAAAAAACATTAGATCAGGGGTGTCCAACTTCCAATGCCTCAAGGGCCAAAACTTAAACCTTTGATGTTGTCGCGGGCCATATAATAATTTTGTTACAAATAATAACAAAATAAAGTGAGGTATAAAAATAATTAAAACAAAAAAGAGTATTATTTCTTTTATTGCTCAACAACTACATTTTTTTATAAAACGGAAAATTTATTGATAACACTTTTCAATAATCAAGACAAACATTACAAAAGCAACGAAAAAGATGTATCCAATTAGTGTGAGGACTGTGGTCGATAGGCTTCATCCACCAATGAAGAAATGTCCATCTTCAGTTCAGTTGTAGACACTCTCATAAGATGACGTAAGGAAGAATCGGTAAGGTTGCTTCTGTTTTTATTATTTATGTATTTCATGAAGGAAAAGGCACCTGTATATGTGCTTCCGAACATTGACGTCATTTTCAGTCCAAAATCACGCAGGTTTGGAAATTTCTCCTTTGACAGTAATTTGAAAAGGTCCCGTTTCTTGTCTGGTGATTAGGAACATGTCCGCTTGAAGATCACATAACTCAAGTTGTAAGTTGGGTGGTTGATCATCAATGGTTCCTCCAAGAGGGTTATTATAAAGTAGTACACTGCTTTTGAGACTTTCCATTTGTTCAAATCTTGTATTGAATTCATTAATAACTTGTTAAATTTGTGAAATGCAGCATGAAAACTCAATATTTTCCTCACCGTTAAATTCTTCTGCTATTTGCAGACAGCTAGGGAAGTGTGTCAGGTTGTTCTTTTCCAAAGTACGTTTAAACACGTTCAGCTTATTCCGTAATCCGTTTAATCCATTCTGATCAAATCTGAAACCGTCTGGTTTCTTCCTTGAAGACTCAAGTTTAACATGTTAAGATGATTAGTCAGAACTGTTATAAAAGCTAACTGTCTTAAGAATTCTGGATCCTTAAACTTCTCTTCCAGTTCAGTTGTGTCAGATGCCACTTCAGTTGTTAAGGAATGCAGGGATTTCCTTTCTTATGGCAAAAAATCGTTCCATGCACTTTCCTGCACTCAGCCACCTTACATGGTTGTACATTAGCAAGTCTCCATATTCAGCCTCTGTTTCCACTAAAAACTGCTTAAGTTGCCTGTGTAAAAGAGATCGATTTCCACCTCTAATCATCTGCTTTTATCCAAACAAAGTGAGAAATATGAACTTTTCTTAACCAGGCTAAGCATAGATTTTTCTACTTGCTCACCCATAGCAACAATCCTTCTTTGTATGGTTTGATGTGAAAGTGGCACTGATTCAAATTTCTCCGCCATTTTAGAATCACCGAAAGCTTTGGCCATTTCAACAGCACATTTTTTTATCAAATTGCCATCAGTGAAGGGTTTTTTTGCCTTTGCCAGCTCAAGCGACACGGTATAAGATGCATGCAAAGAATGCGTTTGAGAGTGTAATTAGCAATCAAGTAATCACTCTCCCAACTTTCTTTCTAAATTCTGTTCTCACTATCAATTTTCCGTTTTACTGGTTTTACACTCATTATTGTATAAGAGGAATCATGACAGAGAATTAATCAAGTTCACTGTTCACTAGCAACGTAATAGATTAGCCGACTAGCCTACGTGTCAGTAGCACACTGGCACGATGGCAGCTGGCAACGGATGGTAAGCAGTGGGAGGCGTTGCCTGCGTGAACTGTAATGCGCAGTAATCAGTGCAGTTCTCATAGTGGTGGAGGACGATTGTGTTCGTAACACGTCCGCGAAGTGGCATGCGGTACAGTACTTGTGATGTAAAAACACTGCTAAACCATAAAATATAAAATAAATGAAAAAATCTTTTTTTATAATGGCAGCATTTAAAGAAAATATATGTTTTCGAAAATCTCTCGTGGGCCACAACAAATAGCCTCGCGGGCCGGATGCGGCCCGCGGGCCGCCAGTTGGACAACTCTGCATTAGATGCTCCTCTTATTTGTAATACAGCTCACTTATTTTACGTGCAACAGACTTTTAATAATGCTCATTTTAAAGCTTATTTCAAGCACTACAGAACCTTTTTTTATTAGAATTCCTAAAATGCATCTGCTCGCCGTTAGATGGTATTGGTCACATCGATTAAATTTCAGACAAAATAAAAAAACGGCTTTGATCTTTAATATCTAGCTTAATATTGCACTTAGAATACTTTATAAAAAACCAAATTGTTCATTTTTTTACCTGCTACAATTTTGTTATTATAAAATTTTCGATCAAACGTATATTTTTGGAGATATTTGCAAAAAAACTGATGAAAAAGTTGAGAATTTTCAATTGCCAATAGCTTGAAAAGTATTGGATTTTTCGAAAAACTTTATAGATGATTTTTTGCTTAAAATTAGGCCTTCTATCGATATCCGAGGTTATTTTGAACAAAAACTCACACCCTAGAAGGGGTGGCAACCACCCCTCCCCCCCCCCAGGGTGGTTGCGGAGTTCAAATCATTTTCACTTTTGAAGTTAAGGGTAAGATGAACATAATTAAAAAATGTCATGCAAATCGGTTCATAGTAAAAAATTCGGAGGTAAGACCGTATTTTTCGCTTCAATGACTGCACCATTAAAGCTGTTTATGAAAAGACAGGACTTCAGGCTCGAGTACAAATCCAAAAAAGGTTGTGCAACTAAGTACTTAAAGCAAACGGCAACTTGGGTGAGTTTTTGGTAGATTTTGATAAAACCTTAAGAGAATTAAATGATACTGGAGGTAAAATAGATGCTAGTGAAAAGATCACCACACTTTTATCTGCAATGCCTGACAGATTTAGTTCAGTTGTAACATCCATTGATATTTAATTTCGTTCTGATCCATCCAAAGTAACTGTAGATTTTGTGAAAAATAGTTTAACGGCAGAAGATGATCGTTTAAAAACAAAGGAAGTTAATAGTGTACCTATTCCTTCATATGCCTTTGTTGGTGAAGATAAATACAAAGGTAAGAGCAAACATACTTTAAGTTCATTGTCATGAAATGGGGCATATTTGCTCGAAATTTCCGAAGATCTGGATATTGTATTCTATCCGAAAACAAGTTAATGATTTATGTTTAGATAACATGCTATTCAAAACTTACCGAAACTGAAACTCATCACTCATAAATACCTAATTGAAGGCAAAGTAAAAAAAGACAGTTAACATCTGGAACTCTGTATACCTCTGATGCTTTTGTTGGTGTGCTAAATCGGTCATAAAAATAACTACTCCAAATCGTGACAATGAAATGTTTTACGTTTTTTACGACTGTAAAAGCGTGTGTCACCAAATGAATATAATCGAGATGATGGGAGCAATCCAATAAAGCTAGCAGAATTAGGATGTTAATGGTACAAAAAGAAAAGTATACAATCGTAAACCAGACTTAGCTAGAAAAAAATCGTATGTCATGGATTTGATGAACAAAAATCTTATCCACATGTACTACATGCCCTTTTTTAAAGTAATGTAGTTTTTACGCATTCCTATTCTGTTATAATGGGTGTTTTCTTATTAGAGGTATAGGAATATAAGTATATCTAATATAGAAATATAAGAAAATGATATAACAACATTAAAAATTAAAAACTGGAAAAAAAAGCACGAAACAGGTCAGAATGGAGAAGAATCCTTGAACAGGCCAAGACCCAAAAAGGGTTGTCGAGCCAGTGATGATGATGATAGAAATATAACAGAATTTTTAACAAAATGTCATATTATTAGTGCAAATCAGCATGGTTATCAACAGGGAAAATCAACTCAAACTGCGATTTTTCAATTTGTCTGGGATATTTTGAAATATACTGAGATTGGTCATATGGCTTTGGGTCTCTTTTTAGACCTATCAAAGGCATATGACTGT